GTGGTCAGAAGGCAGGCGGCAGACTAAGACACACGGGCTAACAAGGCTAGGGTCAAAACACAGGAAAACAACACTAGGAAACACGTTGTAGTGTTACTTTACAGTCAACAAGACTCTGCAATGTAAATGAGTGAGTGTGTTGCTTAAATAGTGTGGGCAATCAGTCTCTGACAATCCTCAGGTGGTGCGAGTGTAATCATTCTAGATGAGGAAGCATGTGTGAGTGGAGTGCATGTATGAAAATGTAGTCCAGAAAAGGCAGAATTGTAGTCCATGTTTATTGTGAATGAAGTTATCGTGACAATTAGTGTGTTTTTCAAAAGTGTGCTTTAAATGCTTTAAATATTAGTTGATTTTTAGTACACTGTTTACATAATAATCCTAAGTTTAAAATAAGTTAATATTTAAAAAATCTATTAGTAATGTATTGTAGTAGAAGTACATTTTCCCAAAACTTAAGTATACTTAATGTGAATGTAATATTATCACTAACACTTAAATAAATTTTGAGTGGGGTAATTTTAAGTTTATATTAAATTGACTTTATTAAAAACCTATTAATATAAACTTAAACCACACAAGAACAGGGGACTCTAACAGTTCAAGATAAAGGCAGTACTACGGATCTACTATTCTGGGCAAGCCAATTGGAGTACAAATCTTAGTATGCTTCAGTGTCTGATGGTTAGGAAAAAAAAATTCTCTATGAGTAGAAAGCAGTACAGGACGGCTTAAAAAAAGAAATTAGAGTGCCTTAGTATTCAGCATCTACAAACATTAATGTGTTAACCCAAAATGTTTTAATCAGATGTGGGATCTATAGATCAATATTCTGAATTTAGCTCCAGCCTAATATTTGAGCCCTTATATAAAGTAATAAATTCCCTATAACCTAACAGGGAAGGGAATAAGTAAGGCATGAGGAAAAAAATTGAATAAAAATTAAGAAGGGAGAAAATAATGCTATTAATGATGATAATAATAGAAAAATTAAAAGCTATTCCCCAAATGGCAAAACCAAAAACAAAATTAAATATGAACTAAGTATGGAATAGATTATTGGGAACTTGATTTAAAATAAATAATAATAAAATAAAACTGGACAGCAGTATAAAAAAGAAAAAAAAAAAAAACAGAAGGCAGTAAAATTAATATAAATTAAAGTAACAAAATAATTAATAATAACCAAAAGGAAGTAAAAGCAGACCAATAATCTATACGTTGATAACTAAAATATTGTTTGGATAAAATGCTAACAGGGAAAATGAAGTGCTTAATCGAAATTAAAACTAATTAAACTCCAAACAATTTGACTATTTCAGACCACATAAGACACAATAGTGGGTGAACAAAAGAAGAAGAGCAGGGGGAGACAGTGGGGAGGTTTTTCATAGTTGTACTTTACATCCAGTTAGCCTTAATGCTAATAGTTGGAATTATTTAGACGCAAAGGGTTAGTTTACTTAAGCTTAGCTGGCGTTAGCCGCTAGCGAGTTGTTAAGAGTTACGCTTCACGTCCCAGTTAGCCTTTTGTTAATAGCTGGTATTATTTAGACGCAGAAAATTGGTTTACTTAAGCCGTAGCTGGTATTAGCAACGAGCGAGTTCACCCGTCTGTGGAATGAGCTGCCTCGCCCGGAGGGGGCGGTTCTTGTTCTGGGGGTGTGGCTACGTCTTTCATGAGCGTGACGGGCGCGCGCACATCACTTGTGTGATGAGCCAATGAGCGCTCAAAGGCGCCGTTTATTTAGAGTGAGATTTTAATACATGCATTGAATGCAGCTCAATTCACCGGCGATGAAATACAAATCACAGGGATTCAATTAAAACGGTCATCTCTTATATCATGTTACAGTAACACAGATTTATGATATCTGATGATTACATTTAGACAAACAAACATAAAATGCGAGACGTCTCTCGAGGCAGTGCACATTTTACGCACAGATTGGTCTAGACTAAAATAAGCTGCAATTGCAGCAGTAATGCACACATATCTTTTGGCCAATCAAGTTTCCCAGTAATTCTTTCAAACACTACAAAATATGCATCAGCTTCAGTCTCCCAAAATGATAAGACTAATTTAATATACCTACTTGCATCGAATGGAGCATCATTAAACTGCTGAGTGGAACTAGATTCGACCTGTGATGCAATTAATAGAGGAGTCGTACTCCGGCTTTTTTTAATTATTAAGTCCAATTCTTTAAAGGGCACCTATTTTACTACATTTTAAAGATTTAAGATAAGTCTTTTGTGTCTCTAGAATGTGTCTAAAGTTTCAGCCCAAAACACCCATCAGATTACTTGTTTTTTGTTAGGATTTTCTTCTTTAAACACCATGTACTTGTTTTTTTGCCCTGTGCCTTTAATGCTGGTTCTCCCTGCCCACCTTTACCACATGCCTGTCTAAGTGTGCCTCCGTTTGTGAGAAATACTACTGTAAGAACTTTTCATTAATTTTCTTTTTGGCTTAGTCTCCATGTCACACGTTTAATTTTTTTAACCAGTGCTATATGGATATCTGTTATGTAGATGTAAAAAATAAACCTGATTTAAAGTCCACAAACCAGGATTGAAGCATCATCTTTTAAAATTGTACTGACACATGGCTGTGGTGATAAAGTAAAGCTGAAGTAAATCACTGTAATTTAATAAAAACATGCACTGTTTTAAAAACTTGTAAAATTCATTCTTGCTCACATTTGATGATGATTGATGATCCCAGCGAGCGAAGACATGTCAATACGTGGCTGTCAATCAATTTGGTGGACAGGGAATGCATTCAACTCAGCTCATCTCAGCATTCAACACCATAGTGCCTGCCAAGCTGGTTGTGAAGCTCCAGGCTCTGGGTCTACACAGCTCTCTGTGCAACTGGATCCCGGACTTCCTGGACAGCACACGTGCTGCTGATGATGTGACAATAAAAGTGATTTGATTTGATTTGAAGCTGCACTACTTCGTCAAGTTGCGGTGGGCCTCAAAGTGGGAGGGATTTGGATCTAATTTTAATGTCAAGAAATAAAAAAAAGAGGCTTATTTCCTTGAATCACCCCAATATGACAGTGGTAACACTATACCGTCACACAGTTATGTCCAAACAGCTTACAAAATATCATCATTGGTGCCCTTTAAGTTTTACAGCCAAAACGGGGTCAAAACATTCAATAGAATCTGCGTTTGGGGAGACTCAACCCATGCCCTCTGTTTCCCACCCACTTTTGTCTGAAGACATTGGTAATATGCTGTTGTTGTAAAAAAAAAATAAATGAGTGAAAAAGAAGAGAGAACCCAGTCCAGGAGACTCGAAACAAGCAGAATTCCTTTATTGAGACGTGTTGGTTAATCTGCAGTCATACAGCGTCTTTAAGATGTCCATGTGTCTGCAAGAGCCTACTAGAGGTCCGCAGTCTGCAAGTTCTTTCACAAGTCTCTCACAAGTTTCACACAAGTCTGAATTGAGACAAAGATTTCATGTCTATATTGTGTTCTTTGGAGGAGGGGATAAAGCTAAACAAAGCATGCAAATTCAGTATTGGAGTCAGCATGGCATAGGTGTTAAAAAACGGCCCAGCTACTGACCACACAAGTTAATCAACATAGGGTTTCTGTAGCATAAAAGCAACACCCGAAGACAAAGACAGAGTCGTTTAAAGCATTTGCATCACTGGCTTAGCCTGTAGTCAGAGAGATAAAGGTTAAATGTCCCTCCTAGCTGGGATGTTAATGAAATTATATAATTAAAAACCTAAGAATATAACTTTTCAGTTATACGTAGATTATTGTTAATTTGAAATTAGATGATATAAATTTATATTTCCACACTGTCTTTCACCTATTCATTACACAAGAAATCTTTCATGACCTTATTTGTTGACTCTCTTGGAACGTTAACGTTAAAAAACTCAGACATAACAATTAAATATTTTTTTCTGCATTTCTCAAATACTTTTAAAGATGGTGAAAGCATAAAGGAAAGCATATATTTTTTCAATTCATCTTTATTTCTATAGCGCTTTTACAATGTAGATTGTGTCAAAGTATTGACCTAAGATTAAAGATTATAGTAAATTGAAACAGTGTAAGTTCAGTTTAGTGTGGTTTTATTTTCACTGCTGACAGTGAAATCCATCGATTCGCATCTTCACAAGTCCTGAACCATGCAAGCTAGTGGTGACAGTGGCAAGGAACAAACTTCACCAATTGAACAAAGTGATGGGAAAAAAACCTTAAGAGAAACCAGGCTAAGTTGAGACGTAAGGTGCTATAATACACCCAGAGCTCCCTTAAATACTGGGGAGTAAAGACGTTCAGGGTTTTGTTGGTAGTCAACAAACTGTTTAAATTGATTCAATATTTATTAGGGAGCCAATGCAATGATAAAAGAACTGTAATATGAGTAATAGGATTATATTTCTTTGTTTTAGAAAGCACTCTAGCAGCTGCATTTTGAAGAAGATAAAGTTTGTTAATTAGGCCTACAGGCAATAATGAATAAGATTTTCTACATAAGACATTGATAGCATATGTCGAAGTTTGGCAATATGTTTAAAAAAATATATCTTTTTTTTTTTTTTATTTATTTTTTTTTTAAATACAGTTTTACAGATGCTTGAAATCTGGCCTTCAAACAAAAGGTTGCTATAAAAAATCATCCCCAAATTTTTGACTGAAGATGAGGACTGAACTAAGAATCCATCAAGGGTTAGACCATGCTCTAGGTTTTTGCGTGTGAAAAACGGGTTCAATAAGCAAGACCTCAGTTTTATCTAAATATATACTGTATATCATGCATTCATGTTTGCATGTAAATGTATTGTATCAAATAAGCAGTAACAGGTAATTAATTTTTTTTAAACATTTCAAATGTCCTGACTTGATGTCCTGCTATAATTGTGCCCTTGTAGATTTGTTTTATTGTCTTGCACAAAGTTGGTCAATTTAAATAAAAAAAATAATAATTCACTTGTCACTTTTTTTTCTCTTGACCTATAAAGGACAAGACAGGCCTCCCAATTAGCACATACTTCAGTGCAGTGAAGTTGCGATGGCTAATGGATAATGTGGAAAAGGTCCATGAGGCTGTGCTTTCCCACAGGGCCATGTTTGGAACAGTTGACTCCTGGCTTATCTGGGTAAGAGCAGCGGCAGTTAAGTATCACTCATTTATCTTTGTATGATTTGTATAATCTTAGAGTTAAAGCACAAAAGGTAAGATTGGGGCATAGATTTGAGGTAATCCAAGGATGCCAAGAATAAGGAATGATAAATGATTTCTATAAAATAATGAGTTTTATGCCTAATGAGACTGCAAGATAAACTCAAGCACATAGACATGGAGTTTGAGTATAAAGTAATTATTCTGTAAATATTTAAAATTTTGGAAATCTTATGCTATAATCCTTACTTTCAGTGCTTGACTGGTGGGAAAAATGGAGGTGTTCACTGCACAGATGTGACTAATGCAAGTCGGACCATGCTTTTCAATATTCACACAATGGACTGGGATCCAGAGCTGTGCATGTACGTAGAAATTTGCATTTATAAGTTAATGTTAAATATAAATATTTTGTATTAATATTTTATTTTACAAAAAATAAAATAAAAGTTTGTCACAAACAGATGCTCTGCCCCAAAACAATTTTAAAAAATTATTTTATATGCCTCCTGAAATACCAGAAATAAGATGCCTGATTTTGTTCATAGAAACACTCAAATTATTTTCTCCATTGGGGTGTCTGGGTTTGTGTATACTTTTTGCACCTTATGTACAGGTGTTTCAGTTAAGTGCTCGTGTACATCAAATGCAATCCTTGTGTCCGTTCTTCGTACGTGGATTACTCAATTAGCTGGATTTGGATGTTGACGATTTGACACGATCCAGGATCGTTTCGTTCTTCAAAGCTGATCTGAGAGTTGTTGTCATAGCAACAGTTCTGCTAGGTCAAACCTGATCGGGAGCAGGTTCAATTCATATAAACAGGATTAGATCGGCTTAGTTCAAGCAAAGATAATACAGAAAGTATGTTGCGAATTCTGATATTTTCTTACAGTAAAAGTTATATACACTTGGGAAAATGGTACATATTTTTTAACTATATATATATATATATAAAGTTATAGTCATAAAATAAATAAAGTTATACATATTAATAAAACGTATGCAATCTGCACCCTTGAAATGAAAGTACAAAGACTGCCACCTGGTGGTGCAAAGAGAAAACTAATTGATATGAACTTTTTAGATCGCTGTAGTACAAATTGTGTATAATAGAAATGCACAATATGTGACTTTTTTTTTTAAAGCAATAATACATTTATGCAGTCATGAACATGTTTTGATAGTTAATATGTCAGTGATTTGATGCTTCACAAAAGTTGCAAAAGCCTACCAATATGAAAATGCTTTTGTAAACAACCAGTTATTCTTTACACCGATTAAAAAACGGCTACTATGATAAAGAAAATCGTCTCTAAATGTAGTACTAAATACACTGATTTGCATTGAAATACATGATGAATACTCTTGACACATGAAAGTGTAAAGCCTGCACAACAAATGTGCAAGGTTATTGCGTGTCATATTTAACAAGCCGTTTACTGCTAATTTGATGTAATTTTGCTCACATGGATAATTGAATATTAATCAGATGATGTCATTACGCTGCTGTGACGTCAACCAATCGTTGCATTGCTGATCATGATTTCGAGGATCGATAGATCTGTCCTTCACAACAGACGCAGCGATCTCAGATCAGTTTATCCAGACATTCTAATCTGATTCGCGAACTTGTTTGAAGAACCAAATTAGCGAGAGATCAGTTATCAAGATTAAAAGATCCAGGATCTGCCAAATCATCTTAGATCATTTAAGCAAGGTACGAAGAACGGACCCCTTGTTTAACATGGACAAAAAGAATAATGACTGACCATACATAATGTCTTGCTGTTGTGTGTATGCCTGAAATGTTGTATTTTTTAAGTTGTTACCACATTATAATGACAGAATGTGTTATATCAAGTTAGTATTGTTTGAAACCACAGTTCAAGAATATCAATGGAAAATGTAGTCAAACAAACAAATACTTGGAAAAAGAAAAAATATAGAAATATACAGGAGTTGGTCAATAAAATCGTAAGGCCTGCTTTTAGACCACAATAATTTATTAGTATGGTGTATGGCCAAGTCCTGAACATTGGCCAGAGGGATTGCGAGCCATTGGTCTTGCAGAATAGTGGCCTGGGGCCTCATGTATCAACACTGCGTACGCACAAAAACTTTGTGTACGCCGGGTTTCACGCTCAGAATCGCTCACGTTTGGATTTACTAACAATGAACTGAACGTGGGAATGTGCGCAGCTTCACGGCAGCTTTCTGGCAGGCGTACGCACATTTTTTGTGCGTGTCTGTTTTATTTCCATTGGCGACTCCTAGAGACAGTTGTGTTAAATTGCTCTCTACAAAGTGTCTGAGCCTTGCAATGGCAGCTGTATGAGACGGGTTCAGCAGGTATATAAGGTTTCCATACCATACATTTGACCAGCTAAACATTAAAGCACAATTTGCAGCAGTCGCCTGTTTTCCCAATGTAATCTGAGCGATCTACCGCACGCACATTGCTATAAAGACACTATTTGAAGATGAATTTGCATGCGTGAATCAGAAACATTTCCATTCAATAAATGTGCAAATAAAATATGATGCTTATTGATATGAACTTATTGATGATTCCTACTTGTCTTTCTCGTGATAAATAGTTGGCAAAATCTGATGTGTAGCGGGGGAAAAAACAAGAAAGAGTTCATCAGACGCTGGATTCGAGCCGAGCTCTGCTTGAACGTATCAATTTATGATCACATGCGTCTTACGAGCGCGCCACTGAGACTGTTAAGCATCCTGCAACATTTTACAGATATAAACCACACTATTTCTTTTTTTTAATGCACTCAGTGCAATGTTCAGACCCAACTGTGTTAACCGCATCAGCTAAACTCTCCCACTCTATTTTTTTCTTTTGTTGTTAATTCGAGAACAAACTTGCAAATAACACTGCTTTTCTCCGGTCTACCTCCGAAAGGAGCACCTCCAATTCACATTCTGTTCAAAGTTTCTCTTTTTGCTTGCTTTTGACATTGCTTTTTCGTTGAATTTTTCCATTAGCATAGTCATTAGCATATTCATACGGGGGAGGAGGCAGGGAGGGGTTTTGTGCTCGTGCTTGTTGCGTCAGTTTCACGTTCATTCAGATGTACAAAAGAATATGTGTGAGATTCGGCGTACGCATTGTTTCATACATCTGAAATTTTTTCTGCGTACGCACATTTACAGCGTGTGCGTACGCAATGTTTTAGTAAGATTTCCACGCAAGTCTTCGTACATGAGGCCCCTGGTCACTACTTGATGCTGGTGGAAGAAAATGTTTTTAGACACACTCTTCCCAATCTTCCCAAATTTGCTTTTCAAATTCACTTTGACTTGTTTCATTGCAGGCAATATTAAAGGGTCATGAAACACCAAAACACATTTTTTGAGCTGTTGACAGTCGTATATGTGTCCCACACTGCTAAAAACACTATTAGGACACCTATATTTCACTAAAAAGTGTAAATTGGTTGTTTTTGCGTCATTTCAAGCAAATTCGTTCTTCCGGTTTAAAACAAATTTTTGAAGCTGCGTCACGGTCATGACATAATAGCGTTGTATTCCAGCGTGCAGGCTGGACGTCTGTGCCAGAGTGTGTCTTATTACGTCTTACAGTGTGATGCATTAATGCATGAGTAAGGCTTGTTTCAAACCAATCAGCGCGCTCTATTGTGCAACTTCATTAATATTCATTACTGTCACAGTGTTTAGACGACACACACACCACGTTGTATTGGCAAACAAGCGTGAAGTGTTGCTTTTATTGTTAGCTGCAGTTAAGTTTCGTTTTCATTTTCTCTCTGTGAGAGCTCATCTGGAGTCACGTGTGGATTAACAGTGTACGCGATGCTCGACAACAATAACTTACATGTCTAAGGAGGAACATTGTTTACCTGAGAGCTATTCTCATCTGCAAACGCTGAGATCCAGATTCGCTTGTAGTCTTCTCTTAATAAAGACGCGGCTCTAGTTGCTGGTGATTGTCCTGTCTCTACAGATTTGGTAAGTGAGTGACCAGTTCTCTTTGTTTATTCAGTTTGTTCGTATCGAACGAAGTTAACTATTGCACCGAGTGTAAACATGTTAGCACCACAACCAAACTTTAACCTCGTGTAGGGTTTTCACCGCATTTTGTGACCGGAATAACACACGCGACTTTCTGACGCTACCTGCCGTGTGCATCTAAGTTTCCAGGAAATGCAGAGGGTTTTTTTTCTCTCATTTGTCGTGCGGTATCAAACATTGCATGAAAAATTCACGCTTACTCGCGCGTGCCCAAATAGACACTCCCACACCATCCCACTTTAGTTCCTCCGACACTCCCCCCTAAACAGAGATGGACACTCACTTTTCTGACTTTTTCCAAAGTAGAGGTGTGAAAACACCCTGCTGAAACGAGGAGGTTTCATGGCCCCTCGTTTCAGCAGGGTTTTTTCACACCCCTAGGTAGGAAAGTGGGCGTGTCCTGCTCTGTTTAAGGGGCAGTGTTGGAGGAGGGGAAGAGGGAAGGTCCGTAACAATTTGCATAAAAACGGGAGTGTCGGTTTGGGCATGTGCTGATTTTCACAGAGGCAAAACAAACCCACAGACGCTGGGCAGAAAAAAAAAAGACTGTGTTTACATGGACATCAGTAATCAAATTGTTTGCCAAATTATTAAATGGTGGACTTTAACTGCAGTTTGGCTCTTTCTTTCAGGAATTTTATTCATGCCTCTCATGACAAACGAGATATTTCATTCGAGGAGCTGCTGGAAGCTTGTATTTTAATGCAATGTTTGATACCGCACGGCAAATGAGAGAAAAAACCCTCCGAATTTCTCTGTAACTTAGATGTACTCTGTAGGTAGCGTCAGAAAGCCGTGTGTGTTATTCCTGTCACAAAATGTGGCACAAATCCTACACGATGGTAAGTTTGAATGTGGTGCTTACATTGTTTACACTCAGAGTGCAGCTTTTAAATTTTTTCAGTCCATAATATTGTAGTGATATTAACGTACGGTAAACTTAACTATCTTAGAAATCATTTGACTAAGGTCTGTCTTTAAACACTGAAAGAGTACTGCTGACGATACGAACTAACTTTGCCTCTGAATAAACAAACAAAGACAGTTGGTCACTCACTTACCAAATCTGTAAAGACAGGACAATCAAAACCAACTGGAGCCGGGTCTTTATTAAAAGGAGACGAGCAGCAAATCCGGATTTTACCATTTCTATATGAGAAAAGCTCTCGGGTAAACAATGTTCCTTAGACAAGTATTACTGTCGTGCGTCGCGTGCACTAATCCACACGTGAATCCAGCTGCACTCTCATAGAGGGAAAATGAAAACAAAACCTTCACTGCAGCAAATTATAAATGCAACGCTGACGACCCGTAT